GATTCCCGGCCAACGCATTGTATTTTTAATTTTGGGTGTACCATGCAGTGTATTTTATTCTTGGAATAGGATAATCATGGGGCAATATTTTCCTAACAGAGCCATACAAAGTTACACTCCTACCTACATTGTCTATAAGAAGACGATTGAGGCTGAAAATTCAACCATGACCAAATTCATTTTTTTGCGCAAACACTTTTTTTCTGGTGATTGGCGTGGGCCAGTTCATAAAACATCGCGCCCTGAGCGCAGATCGATCCAGTTAATATTGTATTCCGTTGTATAAAATATTTTAAAAACTAAACTTTTAATCGTATTATTGTCAACAGTTGTTGATTATAACAACTGATTATAGCTGCGCCTTTATATATTAACGTACTGATGTTTGTGATGATATGATATATTCAATTGAAACCTGGTGGAAGCAGCTACAGTATAGGAAACACACGAAAATTAATCCAAGCACAGCAAAGCTGCAGCGAAAATTATCTTTTCCTCCTGTGCAAAGGATCGCTATTTGTTTTCAAATTTACTTATGTAACGTACAGTACAGTACTTATCTCTTCCTCCACTCATTTGCATTTCTTATGAGGTGGCTGGGAATATTTTTTTTTTTAAGGATGAAATTCAACCTTATAGTGTACACTTGTACAGTACCAGTATCTGTTTTAGGGGTTCAGCGGAAAGATGCTTCAGAATGTGCTGGTATTGAATGTAATCACGGGTCGCAGGATGCTCTTCGATTCTGAAATGGCAGAAAATACTTTTCTAACCTGCTTTTTCAATTTGTCAATTTTATGGATGACAAACGGATGAAAACTCACGTGTGTCGTTAACGCACTCGTCCATGCGTCCATTTTATCCCCAAATCGGTCATACGTAACGGAGACATTCGTAATTCGTTCTTATTGGTAGTACTGTAGAATGGAACTTAGAAAATGGGAAAGGTTTCATGTGTCTTTCTTCGGCTTCACTCTATGGTGAAGCAATCTCGACCAGATTCAAAAGTACAGTTGCACTGTATCTCTTCGATGTAGGATCAGAACCGACATCTGCTGGTTTCTGGATGCACATTTTTGAAGTTACCGACTCTTAGAGCATAATAGCTACGCTATGAAAATATTTTCATATAGAGCTGCATAGGTGTCACTGCTGGAATCACGGTCCCAATTCCAAAGCTGGACTCGCAACTTCATGATCAGGCGTGGCCTTGTGGCAGCGGAGATTTCTTCAGTATTCAATCACACGTACGACAGGTGCAATTCCGCCAGTCACTTTATGGTGAAACAGTACTACAGTATAAGTACCCAGAACGTCGAAACAATGCCGTACACATTTCCCCCCCTCTGAATCGTGTTCGAACACATTTGCAATCCAAATCCACGAGTTGTTGGAAAATACGCTAGTACTGTTTTGGAACGAAGAAGTAACGTGCTGTATATTCATCCTTTGAGTAACGGCTCATGAAGCATTCGATGACGAAGTGAACAACAGCTAAATCTGCGGTATTTTGAGAATTCTCTGCGACAAATTTACATGCAAAGCATGAAAACACTCGATTTCAGCTCATGCGTTCAAGAAAATTTCAAGAACAATGTACTGTACATTATTTAGCCCACCTATAGACCGTCCGAATCGTTCCATGTGTTCTTCCATTTCGAGTTTCTCGACCAAAGAAAAAAGTTATAGCCGGGTAGAACAAAATATTCAAAGTCGCCCATTGTTATTGATTTAACCCGCACGGAATCTTTCAGAATGATCATTGAACGCTGATTATTATTCCTGCTAACAAGACGAAAACCAGTTGACCAGACAGTATGAACAAACCCCATTTGGTCAGAGCATGGTCGTAAAAATACGATAAAATGAGGTGTTGAAATCCAATTCGGGTCAGAATTTTTAAGGAGAATTTTTAAAGCCACTCATGCAGTCAAAAGCATTCCCGACAGCTCATCAAGACAGGCCGTGCAATTTTGTTTGTAATGATAAGTGTTCTTTCCAGGCCCATAAACGGGAGTGACGTGATGTAATTCGAGTCGTTCGCATGGTTTTATTGCGAGTTACGACGAAGTTCCGGAAAACGCGTTTCGAGTACAGTACACGTACTAATACCTTGATAGATATTCCAAAATCTCTCCGTCAGAATTGATCAACTGGCGATTAATTTCTGCTTCCGAATGCGTCGGTCAATGCCTCCTTTTTTATATATATTTTATTTAGATGAGACGATATAACTCTGACACGTTTATGAGTTCAAGCAAGGTCTTTGAGGAAGAAGATATAACTTTGACGAGTTTATCAGTACCTGTACAAGCAAGGACTTCGAGGATTAGTGTGACATGCGACCAGCAACGGTATTTTCGATATTTCCGGGGAGTTTTTGGCTCGCAAAATGTTCTATGTAATTTATAGCCATGAGATTTTATTGATCGGTTATTTTATGTCAGGAGAGGGAAGATGAAAAAAAGATGCTTGCAGTATTTTTTAAAGAATAAAGCTACTGCATTACAGTACGGTACCTCAACATTGACTGCTTAACTCTACAATGGGACTTCGACATACGGACGCCCCGGCATCCAGGTGATTCGACTTAGCGATGCTTACGAATTAAAATAACCGGCCCGACATGTGGACAATGTCTCGAGATACATACAATTTTCAAAATTTCTAGATAAATTGAAAATTTTTTTTTTATAGATTCTAATAACTCTTGAAAAATCGAGCTATATACAGTGAGACCCCCAGATGCGGACATAATTGGTGCTTGAAGAGTGTCCCTAAGTTAAATTGTCCCCAAGTCGAGTCTTGAAAAGGGTATCTGAATGTAATATATTAAAAATAAACCACAAAATACCTTCTTTATAAGAAGTCTATTCCACAAAAAAAATTTTTTGCCACTTGAATTTGATTCAGTGAATATATTTTCAACCCAATAAGAACATTTGGAGCATTCAATAGTATACCACTGTACAATTCATTGAAATTGTTGGCATCTGTAAAAATGACATCAAAGTCACAAAAATAGAAGAAGGTCATCCCTCTGTGCTACAGGTAATTTTTTTTTAATTAGGCAATGTATGGGAAATTGATGGGAAAAGTACAAATGAATTTTTCTTACATAGATATTTGGGTTGGAATCTTAAGATTGTTTCTTTCAATGAAGCCTAATAAAAGTCAATTTTCCTAAAATGCATCGGCAATTTGATCATGCAATGCCCTCATGTCAGGTCAGTGTCCCTATGTTGGGCCTTTTTTCATGATTTCTTTGTTGAAAGATAAATCTCCCTAAGTAAAATTGTCCTCATGTGGGGGTCTCATTGTACATTATATTCACACCAATGAAAAATAAATCTAATTAAAAAATAACCCTAATTGATGACCAAAAAGGTTAATTTTGTGCTTTCTTAGAGTTTTCTTCCATCATATGTGTTGTTGTGGACAAAATAACTAGACTTGTTTTTGTCCCTTGCTTTCTTTAGCTCATTTTGATACCAATAGATCAGATTCTGTCTTGTTTTTTTCTACAGTTATTTCATGTACATTGTACAGTATCTTGAAAGTGAAAAAATAAAGTTTTTATAGGGACTCATTCCCAAGTTTTTATTAGCAAGAAAACCAATGAATATGTAACCATTTTAGGCTGTGGGGAACGTGATCCGACATAGGGACAAGGTCCAAGCACCAATTCACGTCCGCATCTCGGGACCCCACTGCAATTTCATTCAATTGTCCGTTTCAATCCTCAATTTGGGGGAACAATTGCATTACCAGTAACCACTTATAGCTTAAAAAGCCCTGTTGCTGTAACTGAGGATGAACTGAATCCTTCGTGACGAAAAATTAAATTTAATGCTAATGGATTGAGCAAATGGTTTGAGAATCATCAAGTTCAACATAAAAATGAACCTCAAGCGCCTGTCGTAATTTATTGAATAATGAACGATTTTTTTAAAATAATTAAAGTAGATATTTCGTCAGTTTGGGGAGGGGGAGGTGTGTGTCCTGAAATTGTGTAATTCAATTTTTTTTTTCGTTACACGGGTCTCCGTAAAACCGACCTGCTGTCGCCAAAGGTGGCCCACAAGCTGCGAACCCGACGCCCCGCGGCAATCCGATACAAGAAATAATTTTTTTTTCTTCTCATTTTTTTCTCTGTCCGAAATTGCAATCCGAAGTGAAAAACCATTTGTTAGAATTGTTCCAACAGTTCTTATTTATTTTCTAAAATTGTGAAGCATTTTCTTTCGGCCAAAGTCTTCACTTGCTGGTGCTACACGTGGACTCTCTCTATACAACGAAATTCACGGAACAAGAAAAAAAGATGCCCATAACAGAGAACGCATATAACATGTGAAGAGAACCCTTTGGCAGAAAAAAAAATCCTTTTACAGTAGAACCTCGTAGTAGATGAAAAGATTGTTGTAGAGAGAGTCCACCTGAAACGTTTTTGGAATAAATATTCTTGGGGGATGTGTGCAGGAAATTAGATATCCTAGTTACATAATGGAAGATCACAGAAAAATTTTGGGTAAGTAACAAGTTTTTCTGGGGAGGAAGAATCATGTGCTACTGATGCAACAAAAACCTGTTAAATTTTTTTCCGTCGGAAGTCTGAAGGAACTCCTGTCCTGTGTTATTTCGTCCTCGTCGTTTCGGAAGTGAAATGTGGCGTTGGGAAATTCACAATGAATCCGTGGAACTTAAATCACAGGAAAGGTCAGGTAGTGGTCAGTTCGGTTAGGATGTGTATGTGGTATGAGTTGGAATTGTTGGATCATTTCCGGAAGGATACGCTTCAGTTCATCAGTTGAAAAATTGTGCAAACTTAATCAGAGATTTAATTTTTTAGAAGCTTGGTGGAACTGAATGTGCGGGATTTCACAGCTGGCGGAACTTATCCAACGAAGAATTTTCATCATATTCTAAAGTTCCTTCGTCAATATCATACGTTTTCAGGAAACATTCTGCATTGTTTTCAACATGAAAGACAGTTGAAATCGACAAATATAGCGCATGATTACAAGGTTAGCGGATCGAATCTGGCGTTTTTCAACAATATTGCCGAAAGATATGAAATGAACTTTAGTTAAATGCTTGTACACGCTGTTCATGGTGAAATAAATACTGAGTATTACTGATTGCTTATTAGTATTAATTCGTCATTTAAAAAATTATGCTTACAATAACCAGTGAAATCTTCACCGATTCTTTTTTTTTAAATGTTAACTACTTCTACTCTCTTCCAATCTCAAATTAGATACCGGATTCGTCTAAACTCTAAAGTTCTTTGATATACTTCTAATTGTAAAATACCCGAACATCTGCTATTAGAAAGCAGGCAGATACAGTATATAGGAAATATTTTCAATCTCATGGATAATTAATTTTATTTTCAGATAGCCACTGTGACAGCAATACTATATCGGAGATGGGCATTCAATGCACACGGAGTGAATGTCAGCCTAATTTTCTTTTGATTTCATGCAAATTTAAGTGTTTTAAAATTCACAATTATTTTCATTTTACCTTATTTTAGAATTCGAATAATTTTCAGGTTTTTAACCCTCATTTGCGTAATATGGCTTTTAAAAAACTAAATGAGTGGTCCGATTTTGGGTGCGATGGAATCGGGGACCGGTCCTCATTTTCGTGAAAATGGCAGTTGGCATTTTTTTTTTGTTCAGGACCTTCAGGTAAACAAAAACCGCAATATATTCCTATGTTTGTACATCTTTTATTGAATTCTAGGTGTGTTGAAAATGTTGAAAGAAAAAAAATCAGACTTGATATATCGCGCGGGAAATTCTGTGGCTATCGGCGTCCTTCTGTCAATAGTTACTATCTCAGTTAGTAAGGCTGAACCTGACACAGGGTTTGGATTCCATTCCGGATCTGGACTTCATCATGGACCTGGGTTCGGACATGGCATACACGGAAACCATTATGCCTCCTCCAGCAGTGGCTCAACCAACTATTCTCCAAGCTCCAGCAGTTCTTCAGTGAGAAAAGCATTGTTTAAAAAAAAATTTCCCTCTATTGGTTCCTGAAAAAATGTGCAACGGTATAAGAATTGCACAAAAATTATCCCTGAAACAATTTGTGGAAACTTCCTTTGAATATCCACGAGGAAGATATTTTAATCGAAGACAATCTTACTTTTCTGCTAGCCAAGCTTTTGAAAGATATCGAGCCCATTGGACTCTTTCAATAATATATTGCAAGTGATTTTATGCAAAATTAGTTTATGACTTGAGCCTTTTGTTTTGTATAAATCATGATTCTGGAGAGTAAATTAAGTTTTCCTCATATTATGCAGTACTTTTACAGAACCAAGGGCTGCCCACTGTTCTTTTTTTTTTTTTTTTTTTTTTTTTTTTTTTTGTTTTTTTTTTTTTT